TTCGTAGAATGGTATAGCATCTTCGAAACTCTGTTTCTCTTCATAAGACTTCCAATTGTCCTAGTCTAACCTTTTTTTAATATTTTTTATGGGCCCACCAAAAACCCCAAAAAATGCAATGGCTGACCCATAAACTAAATCGTTAATATAAAAAAACACATCTACATAAGCAATTTGATATTATTATTTAAAGTATATTGAAGAGAAACAGAGTTTGGGATTTCTTTGAAAAATGATTTTTCCCCATTTAAAATACATGGGAAACTTTGAGCGCTTTAAGCGACCTCTAAATACTTGTTGATAAAAAAAAACGGGGTACATTTTTTTTCAATATAGAGCAATCTTAGGGGGAGAGACTTTACTTTTATTACGTTTTTTTTTTGAATCACCCTAATGTAAATGTGTACGTGTATATGCAATGCATGTAAGTTTGTAGATCTCTCTATTTTATATCTTGCCTACCCCCAACCATAGCTGCAGTACTTAAAAATTTGTACAGCTTTTGCAAAGCGCGTATGAAAAAAAATTATTTTTCGGTAATGCAAAGCCGCACTATGGCAGTTAGGGGAAAGTTTGTGGACAAAAAGCAAAATCTTTTAATCCAAAGCAGAACACGAGAAAATTATACAGATATCAATACTTTGACCTTTTGACTTTCAAATTCAATTAAATAAGAAGATTTTAAATTTTGCTCCTTTATGCAGGTCACTTTTCGATCTTTGAAATCGAATTAAAAATAGCCATTCAAAAACTCATAAATCTACAAAATCGTATTTTCTGACCTAAATCGCCAGGTCGCGACCTCTAAATGACCTTTAAAAAATCTATAAAAATAGGCAATAATATTTCTCATAAAAAAAAAATAAAATTAGGGTGTAGGGTCTAGATTTTTCCAAAAAAAAACATTTTCGATGAGCACCCTAATGTACATATGTATTTATGTACAATAAGTATGTACATCCCCATGCTAACACACTACCACGTTGGGTAAGACCATTCATTGCTTACACTCGAGTTCTCAGGAGCGCGCTCATTGCGCACTGAGCATTTTCTGAGTGCTATTTTACCGCTTGGCTCATAGCTCCAATTCTGGCTCATAGCTTGTTTGGCTGGTTCCCGGTTCATTGGTTGGTTGGTTGGCTATGGCTTTGACTAGCTGACTATGTGACTACTTGCCCTGGTTGCTTTTCGATGGACTCCGAGTCTTTCTTTTTCAGGTTTCAATCGAGTTGAGCATTTGTTTTGAGACGGGCGCGCGAGCTACACTCTAAGCGGGGTTGCTGGCAGTCATTCACAGCCGCCAACAGTAAACAGAACCACGGCAGCTGCCTGCCTGCCGCCCTATTGTGTTGAGGTTGACTACACGTTTTTCAGTGTGTTTTTTACTTTACGGGAGAGTTGGCTTTGTGAATTGGTGGTCGCATTTCGAAACTACTGCATTTTTTCTTGAGAAAAAAAATCACTGGCTAAAGTTTGTAATGAAATATTTAAAATAAAAATGGTGTTAATTTAACAATTGTGTGTGCAGCAAAAATTTGCAAACGAAATTATTTAAAGTCAGCAAAATGCTGTGCTAGAAAAAATTGTGTACAAATATATGCATGTATATGACACACACATATGTACATACATTTATACTTTGTACGTCTTCAAGCAATTTCACAGCCAAGCCTGTGTTTTTGATTTAGCTAAGAAAGCTCTCCTCGCTTAACTCTCTTCTAAATACGTGCATACATACGTACGTACGTACTCCCAAAGCCACGTTTGTGCATTCGTATGTACGTGAATTAAAACTTTAAAGAAAAAAGGTGTGGTTGTGTCGTCGCCGTTTTGGTGTGCTCTCTGCTTCAAGCCATTGGAAAACTTCACTTGAATTGGCTGGGGACTATTTCTTCTTTTGTATTTCTGCTGGCGTTGCTAAGTATTTGGCAGCTAGAGTCTTGGGCTTCAAATTTGACTATATTGAGCGGGAGTGGAAAAAAGTAAGCTTAAACTTAGGCAGCACCTGCAGGTGAGAGCAAAGTGCGATAACACCCGTGAACCGTGATAATATTTGGAATATTTGAAATATTTGCCAAAATAATTGCTGCTAATAAAAGCGTGAAAGTAAGAAGAGTGCGGCAATAAAAAAAAAAACTGTATGAAAAAGTGGGAAAGATAACCAAAACAAAATTTATCTATACATACATATGAAAAAAAAATAAAAATCTTAAAACACTGTTTTTTTTAACTTTCAAAAAAAACTTAATATATCAACAATAAAAGTATATGTATCTGCAAATTAAATAAATTAAAGAATTTAAAAGTAACAAAAAACGCCACGCGATTTAAAATCCTATACCTAATAAAGTATAAACCGTCATAAAATTTTTCCAAACTAAAAAATTAAGCAACTAAAAATTAATTGTACAATTTAAACTAACCAAAAACGAAATCAAAATTAAAAATTTTACAAATTTAAAAACATAACTAAAAAACTCCAGCTTATCAAAAGGTTTAAATTTAATTTAAAAAATAATTAAAATTTAATATGAAAAAAAGTTTACCAAAAATAAGTTGAAAAATTATAAAAATATAATTAAAATAATAATAAAAAATACTTAACAAGCGATAATATTTAATCTAAAAAGAAAAAATATTCCAAAGAAAAATAGTCGTTTCTTATTTTAAAAGTGTAAAATTATTAAAAAAAAAAATATTAAATAAAAAAATTTTACTTAACCAAAAAAAAATATGTGTATGTAGGTATCTACTTATGTACGTACACTAAAAAATAAATCAAGAAACTGAAAAATTAGTAAAGCCTAACTAAGCAAGCTAAGCTTATTAAAAAATTAAAATTAAATATAATAAACCAATCACCATTCAATATAAAAATTCAAATGAAAAATTAGCTTGAAAACTAGGAAAATATAACCAAAAATTAATAAAAAGATGGTTAGCGATTTAATATTTTATGTAAAAAAGAAAAAAATCTTAGCAAAAATAGATATGATTTACTTATTTTAAAAGTGCAAACTTATAAAAAAAATATTTATTGTTAAATTTTAATTCAACAAAAAAATACATATACATACATACATATGTATGTAGGTACCCACATATTTATGTATGTACATTAAAAAATAACTAAAAAATTAGAAAAGCTTAACTAAAAAAGTTAAGCTAATTAAAAATTTATATTTTATTTATTGAATATGAAAACACAATTCAAAGTTAATATGAAAAAAAAAAAACATTACATTGAAAAATTAGGAAAACATAACTAAAAAACTCAAAAAACACCAAACGATTTAAAATTTTTTGTAAAAGAGGAAAAATTTCTTTACTTACTTTAACAGTACAAAATTATTAAAAAAACATATAAGTTGTAAAAATTTAACATGACAAAAGAATAAATCAAGAATATGTAAATTGAAAAACTTGAAAAGCATACTAACGCATTTATTTAATTTGAAAATTAAAATTAAATATGAAAAAATTTAAATCAAAACTAAGTCGAACAATTATGAAAATATAACAAAAAAAATCAAAATAATAATAAGCGATTTAAATTTTATAGCAAAAATATTTGTTTAATTTTTTTTTTATTTTAAAAATACAAAATTATTTAAAAAGATATTAATTAAAAAATATATAAAATAATATACGTCCGTTGAAAAACAAATCAAGAATATGTAAAAGTAATAAAAAAACAAAATTTAAAAGGCGATTTAAGATTTAAATTTTAATAGATGCATATTTTTAAAACTTAATATATTAAAAAAATAATAATTTTTTTATTTAAAAAATTAAACTTAACATAAGAAATATACAGTGACTCAAACAAGTATTCACCATAGAATTTTTTTAATACATACTCACAATGTTTTTCAAATAAAATTTTTTCTGTTAATTTTTGTATAAAAAAGTGCTCATGCTATAACCAAATCATATACATAAATCAAAGTTTCAAATTGTATACAAGATTTAGAAAAAGTGAAAAAACTTGCCAACTTTTTAAAATTATTTTTTTAGAAATTGTCTTCCATAAGAAATTCATGTTTAAACGAAAAAAAAAAACGCAAAAGACCAGCAGCAAAACAAGTTAAAAATCAGAACGATTTTTAGCTGCTTGCAGCTTGGAAGTTTTTTTTACTACGATTTTATGGGCTATAAAACTGCACTCCCAACAATTTTTGTAGAAAGTCAGTTTCAAAAACTTAAAATTTTCGTTTCAAGAATATGTCGGAAAAAACTTCAAGCGATTTAAATCTTTATTTTAAGAATAAAAGTAGTACATAATACAAATTTTAAAACTTAAAAAAATTTATAAAATTCAAAATAAATACAATAACTAAAAATCTGAAATAACTGGAATTAAAGAAAAATTTTAAAAACTTAAAATATTTAAATTAAAAAAATACCCAAACTTAAAATTTAAACTAAAATTTGACAAATAATACAAATAAAATAAATGTTTTAAGAAACTAAAGACATGAAATTAAAAAATATGTTAAAAAATATTAAGCAATGGAAATAATGAAAAAGTTTTCTGTGCATACTTACATACAAACATATGTATGTACAAATGTTGCTGACAAAAACATGCGCTGCATATTACAAACCTAAAAAATATATGTATATATGTATGTCTGGACATACATACACCGAACTCAAACCTCATACATCGCAGTCACTACGCGCATAGCACTCATTTTATTTTGTTTATTTGCCATACTGGATTAGCCATTTGAATCCTTAGAATCTAACTTCAAACCTCTCTTGTAGCAAGTTTTAAGCCATTCCGATAAGATTTCGAATATTGGGCACTTTTTATCGTTTGGTGGCCCATAGTGCAGCGCCTAAAATGTCTTGACTTTACGTCATTTGCTTTGAAATTAGTATAAATATGTATGTACATACTTATTTTATAAATTAAAAATAGACGCAGTCGCACTTTGCTTAGCATTTTTGCACTGCACTTGTGGCTCGCTGCTTTTAAAAGTGCAATTATTTAGCGAATTCACGGCCAAAAGCATGCAATCACAAACAAACACAAACTTACAACCAACGCCTTACATCCACTCGCCACACTCACATCCAATGTCGGGCAATAATAATTCCGAAAATCGCGCCAGAGGGTCAGTTCAATAGTGGGGCTGCGACGACGAACGGCAGCCAACGCGAGAAAAGTTCGGAAGACGCCGCCTATCGCTTACAGCAGATTTAAGAAATCTAAAGGCCAAGAATTCTCACTGTAACGCTTTGCTGTGTGTTATTGTTGTTGTTGTTTTTGTACAATTCTAATTTTCCAAATCTCAATTGGTGTCGTCTAGCAATGTCTTAAAGCTTTTTTGGCTGCTTGCTGTTAGCTTCCTAGAGTGAGTGACCCTCATCGGTTGACAACACACGCGCGCCATCGCGGAAACATTACGAATACATACTTTGTTGCCAGCTAATGTAATTGAATATTTGTTATATTACATACCATTTGTACTTATGTTTTATAAGTAGTGAAATAGGAGCAGCAGCAAACTTGCATAAGTGTACAGATACATATGTAAATAAATGCAACTTTGATAAAAAAAAGCTCAAAAGCAAAATATTTAAAAATTTGTGTAACATTGTAAAAGTTGTGTGTGCAAAAGGTGTTAAATTATAAAAGAAAATAACGAGCTTCAAGCTCGCCATTGTCATAATATAAGCCCACACTCAAAACCAAATATAAATACTACAAAACACAAAAATGTCCAAGCCAAAGCCCATGGAGATGTCCAATATGGATGTGGATTTCCACGAGCGCAAAGCAGAGCCCTTTCGGTTGGGCAGATTCCTGTACAACTCCGAAGAGGGTACTGTGATGGGACGTGATCGCACTTCGTGGGGTAAGTTTATAAGAGAGTTAAGATAGGACTCAGCATAAGATAAAGAGAAGAAAAAAAATATAATAAAAGTTTGCAAACCCTGAGGTCTAACGAGCCATTCAATGAACTTTGGAAGCTATGAAAAGCGCAGTCTGAGTTACGAAACCCCTAAAGGCTCATTCATCGTTCTAGTTCTAGAACTAAGGTTGAAGTGGAGTTGACAACTCAAAAACGTTTAGAACTTTTCTCAGTTGCTCTCCCAAAAAGAGAGAAATACAACAACAACCACATGGAGGAAAAGTTCTGAGCTAGAACTGTGAATACGCCTTAAGTATTTTAAAGACCAAACTAGAAAGAAAATTCTTTTTGATTGTTTATCCTTCCGACAGTTCAGGGGTTTGATGTTGTTTGGAAAAAATTTCCGCCAATTTTGGTTTGGAGAGAAACCGGTTGGCGGTTGCCTTCTTCCAGTGTCATTCGAAGATTCGTTCGAAGATACATCAAAATTCTTAACTTTAAGTTAATATTCTTTAGCGATGCTTCCTAGAAGTACTGAATTTGAGAAATGATTCAAAATACAGCCAGCCACTAAAGCGATCTGATGTATTTCCACTCTAGCGAAGCATTGGACGGATGAACAGATGGTTCGATAACTTTAGATGGCGTAGTAGAATATAGTTCTTTATATTCAGAACAAAGATTTCAATGACTAAGGAATAGAAGAACATAAATGAATGATAGATAGAGGTGTAACAACTGAAGCAAGAATCCAGTAAACTCAATCATGAACACCTGGAAATGGAGGAGAGTTTCCTGCTAGGAATTTTCCATAATACTCAAATTTATGATGCTGGATGCTACGTCGTTTTAGGTTTAAGTAGACTCTGCCATTAATGCAGTCGACTGGCTATATACGTACATAAGTGTGTACTAGTCTGATACTTTATAAAACTGGTGATATCAATCCTGATAGCTTATACAAAGAAACAACTACTTTGATTTTTATAAAGTTTTATAACCTACTCTGTAAAGATACAAAAATGTTAGACCCCATCTATCTTTTTTTATATTAAGGTGTACTTTATAGAAAACTTGGTAATAAGAATACCGTTTTTAAAAACATCAGTTCAAAGGAAGTTTTATATGAATGTCTGAAAGATATATCCTTTCGGCGTATGGCAATGATACCATACACAGAAAATTAACTAGAACTATGAGATCTTATAGGCAGTTCGAATAACCGACATGAGACATTCAGCCCTATCACCCTAGCTCTATGTGAATAAATCGTCGACATAATTTAGGTCATAGACAGAAGGCCCATTGTGTTACCACAGTTCGTGTCGCTGATGAATCTCACCAGGTGCCTTGCGTCGGTACCTGAAACCTCCCTAAGGTCGGCCAGGAGCAGTGAACCCAGCTGACGCAGCCTGCTTCTACACAGTGAAAAAATGAAATGACAAAAAATTTATTTCGTTAAAAAAATGCCATGTGGAACAAATTTAATGACAATTTTTCTTAACGTAGTTTTCCACATACATATAAAATAAATGGAAAACTTTGAGCGCTTTGAGCGACCTCTAAATATTTTTTGATTTCAAAATAAAAAAAGGGGTATAATTTTTTTCGATATAGAACAATCCTAGGCGGTGAGAGCATTAAATATCCGATTTTACTTATTTTGGATCATCCTAATGTAGATTCATAGATATTTGCATTAGGCTGTCCGTTATTTATCAAGTTGGTATTACTTCGTAAGCATGAGTCATCATAGCTATTACCGAAGTACGGCACATTAAAACTGGAATATTTGGGGAAATAAAAATCCAATCGCAACAAACGAAAATAAATTTGAAAGGATAAGGGTAATAATAAATGATGCTCTTAGTAGAAATAAGAAAAAAACAAGTAAGTAAGTCTAAGTTCGGACGGAGCCGAACATTAAATACCCGGCGCAAGTATTAAATATATGTTTTTCCCCTTTCCGAAAGCTACCGCTACGTGGTAAGCCAGGGTCTATCAATTTTGAATAAATTAGCGTCCTTAAATTTCGAAATATTGAAGTTTCAAGCATTTCTGAAAAGCGGCCGTAATTTTAGTCCGATTTCAATAATTTTCTACGTTTTTCTTCTATGTGGCAAGCACAATAACCATACCGAGTTTGGTACAAATTGGTATAACGGTTACCGAGATACATATATGTGATCATAATTGGGCGGTGCCACGCCCATTTTCCAAAATTTTATCATAAACGTATTTCTTGGTAAAGTATTGATGCAAGCATCAATTTTGAATAAATTAGTTTTAATATTTACTGATTTATCGAAGATTTTGTGTTGCTCTAAATTACCGTTATATGGGATGTGGGCGTGGTTATTGTCCGATTTTAAAAATTTTCGGCCATTTAGTATGCTGTATCAAGGCCAACAACTGTGCCAAGTTTGGAAGAAATTGGTGCACCGGTTACCAAGATATATACATGTACATACATTTTCCAAAAATTTATAATATTCTTATTTTTCCTCTGAAAATTATTGTAAATAACAATTTTGAGTGAATTATCTTCAGTAGTTACTAAAATATCGCAGTTTTCGTATTTCTGGAAATTACCGTTATATGGGAAGTGGGCGTGGTTAAAGTCCGATTTCGCCCATTTTCAATACCAACCTACCTTGGATTAAGGGAAACCTACATACCAAATTTCGTTGAGATATCTCAATTTTTGCTCGAGTTATCGTGTACACGGACAGACGGACACACGGACAGACGGACAGACGGACGGACAGACAGACATGGCTTAATCGATTTCTTTTTTCATCCTGATCATTTATGTATACATTTGTCTATATCTATCTCGATTCGTTTTGGCTGTTACAAACAACCGTTATGTGAACAAAATTAATATACCCTTGTGCACAAGTGCGCTCGGGTATAAAAATGCTTGTTCTCATAATATAACCTCAAATATCGCCATTTGGCACTTTGAGGTCAGGATAGAATTTAGCACAAAAAATTTTCAACAAACGATGTGTTTTACTCCGGTGGTAAAAAAAGGTCGAAATGTGTCAAACTGTGTTACATTTATAAAACAACTAAGAAACTTTATTAATTAATATGTCGCCTGTTGCTTCTATATCATACAAAAAAAGTAAAAACAAAAAAGTTCAAGTTTCATCTGGAATAACTTTTAAGGTAACGAATTTATTGAAAAATCATCTAAAACCTTTTTCGTAGAGCGTTCAATTTCCTACAAGAATCTATATCTCCCATTTCTATATAACTACCTAATGGTTCAGAAGTAAATGTGTGCAATGTAAATTGTAGCAAAATGTATTTGCAATGGGAAATAGATCGCCTTTGGGGCACGGTTTTACATCAAGATTAAAGCCTTTTTTTAGTCTTATATTTCATTTTACGTCAGAAACTAAAAATTTAGGGGGTGCTGTAAAAAAACAACTTGGTAAATAACGGATACCTAATATGCATATATGTATAAACGAAATCCTTTACCTACGTCAGAATAGAAAACCATATTTGGCTAAAAATAAATACAAAAGTTTAACCTTGAAGTGCGCTCGAGAACAAAATATCTAATCTTCTGAAATACACATTCACATTTTCTTCTATCAGCTTTTAATAATGATGTAATAAGTATTTTCAGCGTGATATAGAATTATAGAATGATCATTAATTTTTATTTATATGTCGCCAACAAACAAAAATTATGATCGTTTTTACGTGAAATTTGGCACACTAAACAAAGAAAGTGAAGTGAACACACCTTGAAACTTAAAAGCTTTTGCAAGTTGGAAGCATACTTAAAGCTACAAATTTAGCATCGATCGTGAAAAGTACTTATTTGTTTATTATATGCTAGCGGACGTACATTTATTATTAACGGCGAAATATAATTAAATAAGAATAATTATTTTCGCTGAAAGACAGCTGTTTTTCCCCAGCCAGACTATTAAAATTTTACAGTGTAAAATTGAAAATAAAAAAATCAATTAAATAGATAATTGTTTTTCAATGAAAAATGTGTTTTATATTGACTTGTAAAACAGCAATCGATCATGCATATTAAATATTGACAGTTATTGGTAATTTTTCGATCAACTGAAAAAGTGTATAGTTGATCTACAGATATGTACATATGTATGTACTGCCAACTTAAACAGATTCCAATCAGATCTCTACTTTCATGTATTACTAAATAGTACTATGAAAAAAATTTAAACGCTTACGTATGTACCTCTTCTTGTTCTTATTTGGCAGTACAAAAGGTTGATCAGTTTGAGCCTGATTACCAGCCTTCTTTGTAGAAAGTAAAGTCAACACTAAAGTTTTGATCCAAGCGAAGAGAGTATGAGGTTTGCATCAGAAACATTTCCAAGACAGATCTTGTTAAACTTGTGCTAAACCGGAAGCAGAAGAAAAATTCGCTGAAATTTTGTATTTATTTATTTTTTTTTTACTAAATAGACGATGTGAGCTTCAAATGGAAACAAAAAATGATTAATTTTATTCACTAAATTATTTTTATTTGTTTTGTTTTTAGTAGGGCTGTGCGATTAATTGATTACTCAAATTTTTAATTAATCATAAAGTAAATAACTCAATTATTCGATTAATTGGAAATTATGATTACTCAAAAGTTCAGTTACTCGAGTAATCAAGATTTTTGATTAACCAAAAACAAAAATATTTGAGTAATTTGCTTTATGATTAATCAACATTTCGAGTAAAATGAGTAATCAACATTTCAACTCTTTACATATGTATAAAGTAGCTAAAGTTCCTTGATACTTTGAAAACAACGTTTCTGTTTTCAAAAATTAAAACAAAAAATTTTTTTCATATACAGAATGTAAAAAAGAAAATAAGCATTTTCCAAAGCAAACTCTTTTAACGAGCAAAATTATTTTTTTTGAGTAATCATATTTCAAGTAACTCGATTAATTATCGTTTTGAGTAATCAAAATCTTGATTACTCGAGTAATTGATTAACCGAATAATTGATTAACCAACTTGCTCGAGTAATCGAATAATCGCACAGCCCTAGTCTTTAGCTATTAGTACAATTTTTAACGATTCTTCTAAGAGTTTTGAGGTTTTCTTTTTGCTATAACTCGCTCAATGAAGCCTTCCTGATCGTCAATTGTTCTTGGTTATGTACACCAATAAATTAACATATCCCCACAGAAAATAGCCGAGTAATATTAAGTCCCATGATCTTGCAGGCCGGTATATGGACTGCAGCTCCATGCTGTTGGAACCACCTTTCGGCTGGGGATCAATGTTTTCCATCTTTTGAAACAAAAAAATCATTAATCATTGTTCGATAACATATTCCATTGACCGTAACGTTAGCTCCAGCCGCATTTTTGAAGAAATGTGGTCCAACGATACCAGTATGCAAATCACACGAAACAGTCAGATTTTCTGGTTGAAATAGTGCTTCCGCTAACTGTTCAGGATTCGTCACACTACAAAATCTGCAATTTTCTTTATTGACGAAAATATTCAGACAAAAAGTAAATAGCTGCTGATTATTTTGACCACAAGTTGAAATTAACAGTTTGAAAATACAGTTTTTTCTTGGGAATGCACAGGTTTTTTTTAAGTTGGCAACACTAAAATCAGCAAAAGCTTGACTAGAAACTTGTATAGAAAAGTAACAGTATACCAAGAGATTAGAATTAAAATCAGCATAAAAACTTAAATATTTCCAAGAGTAGATACCCACTACTCATCTACTACATATCGCCCGCATTAATATGCTTTCTTGCAAATTTTGCATTTTCTGTTAACATCTAAAAATAACAGCCATAAATATCTACCATCGGAGCGTTTAAAAATCGAAAAAAATAAAAATAAAATAAAATATGGCATGCAAAGTGAACTAAGGCAAATGCGAGAGCGCATCATGCTGCCAAACCGAAGATGAATCGTATTGAGGCGTTGGTGCATTTTTGTGTACAAGTATATTTTGGCGCTCACCGCCGGCAATGACAGCAGCAACAGCAACAACATTAGAGTGTGCACATTAAAAAGTCTGCTACCCCCCGGTCATCGAAAAAGGCACAAATTCATAGTATTTATGTATGTATATAAACTTATACATACATATGTATGTGCATACAGTGGCGAAAATATAAATAGGGAAGAGACATTTTAGCATTCTTTGTAGCTCGTTGTCTAACAAAAACCATGTAAGTCAAAATTTCAGACTTTGCACAAAAATTAGGAAAATTCGACAAAGTTTAATTATTAGATAAATAAATCATTGTTATTTGGGATACAAAAAAGAGAAACGTATTTTTTTTATTTTGAAAATAAGTTTTTTTAGAGGTCGCGCTGGTCGGTTTTTTCTCAATTTTTTTTATTTTCCTGACATGTTAAAATTCAGGTAAAAATGTGGTTTTTGCATAGAATTACTCTGGTATTATTGGGGAACATTCCCTTAATTACATACCTGTCTTGGGTAGTTAGAATGGGCCTAATGCCCGAAAATATGCTCTCGAAAAGAGACTACAAAAATTGAAACGTTGCTACTGAACGATTTACGCGATGTCATGGGTTGGAACTTGTTATCAGGGGGTTTCAGGGGTTGATAATTAGGAATCTTAAGTCAGTTTTTCAAAATTTAAAATGGCGGATCCAAAATGGCGATTAATTTTTTTTTTTAAATTATTGGATTGGTTTGAAACCCCGCACTCGGGAGTTTTTGAGGTCGCCGATTACGAATCTGAAGTCAATTTTTTTTAATTAAAAATGGCGCATCCAATATGGCGATCAAATTAAAAAAAAATATTACTAAAATTAAAACGTTTATAATGAACGTTTTAAGCATTTTCAAGGGTTGAAACTCGTTACCAGTGAGTTTCTGGGGTTGCTGATTACAAATCTGTTTTCAGATTTTCACAATTCAAAATTTGCCTTCCCTATTTATATTTTCGCCACTGTATGCCCATATGTATGTGGCCGCATGTTGTAAATATGTAGCTCTCATTGGACAACTGAAAGCATAAAATTGTTAAATTTCTTTCTTAAGGCTGGTTTTCACTATGACAAATGCAGTGGCATTTGTAAGTGAAAACACATTGTCAAATGAGATCAAAAAGCGGTTTATCGATTAATTTGGATCACGTTAGGTTTTTGGTCGTGTACATGCACTTCGAAATCGGCTATCTGTCAGTTTTTGGCCCATAATATCATCGGCAAAGGTATGGATAAAGGAGATAAAGTTATGTCAAAATATGTCGCCAAATTTTTGTGTCAAAATATGACATAGTGAAAACCAGTCTTTACAATTTCGTATTACATGTTTACATATACATACGAGTACATATACATGCATATGTATTTATTAAGGAATGCCGCTTTGATGGCTCTTCCTCACGTTCGCTCATTCCACACAAATTATTTTTTTTTTTTTTACTAAATTGTAGTATCCAACAACTGTTTGTTTACTCAATGAAATACATATGTATTATACTTTTGTTTATATCAATACAAGCAAATTCATGTGTATGTATGTGTGTTTATTGTTTTAGCCAACAACTCACCTAACCTAACTTCTAACAGCAGCGCTGCGCTCCATTAACGTGCGTTGGTTGTAGTACCTAACATATTTTTGGGCTGCATTGGTTTCCATTTCAGTTAACATTTATACATATTTGCGTGGAGTTTGGGTTTGTTTTCAGTTACCTCCCTCGGTCATTAGCACGGTACTCTAAGCCAAGCGCAAGTGTGTTGTGGCCAAAATATGTATGTAGAATTTATGCGGCAACTTCACGCCTTATCTCACTGCATTCTTCACCAACTTTTGTTTGTACCGTTGTTTCTGTTTTTGTCATTTTCCAACCAACGCCACTTGCAATGCCGGTTAGACGGAGACAACTATCGCTAGCTAAACTGAATCATACGTATACTGCTTCATTGAGGTTAGATTATGTTGTGTACGTTTAAATTTTGTTTGTTACATTTTCTGGTCGAAACCAGAAGTAGTGCCTGCTCGTAGTATTTGAGTAGTGTGTTGCCGTAAGTTTTACTTGTTGAGTGACATAGCCGCGCCGCACCTGAAATCAGTGGGAGTGAGCAACGGTTTTTGGCGCACTATGCTTGGCGCTCATTCGATGACGGCGCTCTCAAGTGACCCGACTGGAAATTACTGTAACCGAAAAAGGAGAGTGCAATGAATATGCCTTGCAAAATTTAACCAAAAATCGCATAAACGGATTTTGAGAAAATAAAAAGTCATTTTTACCTTTCTGTCTTGTAAAAGTTTATCTTCTCTCCCTAGAGATTTAACTGCCTTTATGTTCTTTATAAGACAGTTTTCTAAGGTTTTTCGTTCCATGGACAATCTATCTCTGTTGGATTATACTTACGATGACCATTCGTGCAGATTTTGACGGGACAGTATCGATTTTGGGAAAATTGTTCGCCCGAATATTTTTTTTATAGTCGGGACGAATAACTGTCCCGATTTTTAATATTTGCACCTATTAAACCGCGATTTTCAGCGTAATTTAACAAGCGTTTCCCTGTACTCTGGCCCAAAAACCATTTTTTCGAACAAACGTGCTGCCAGCACTTTCGTTATCAAAAGAACATCCTTATTTCCTATGATATTTGGTTATGTTTTATTCTGTCAAACTGGTACTCTCGCTATATTGCAGTCTACAATTCTTGTCGAAATATTTTTTAAGGTTTTTACAATTATTTCTTAATTTTTTTAATCGCCTTAAAAAAGGAGGAGGTTATCAATTCTTCGGAATTTTTTATTTTTTTTTTTATGTACGTTAACCGATTTTCTTTTTTTAAAGGAAAGGTTGTGCTTCAGAAGGGGTCCCATACTAATTTGGGTTAGATCCGACAATTGGATTATGAAGAAATTACCGGTAACATTAAATTTTTATGTAAGAATTGAAGTCTATTTTGTTTTTTTTGCGTAAAAAATACTTGTTTCCTTAATGAAGTTCTGCCAACGCTGCCCATGCNGAAGCCTTCGGCATAGCCGAAGACAGCGCTGCTCTTACTTGTTAATATAATCTTTGCCACTAGTTCGCTAAAATAAGCAACACTTACCTGAAATAGTAGAACATAACGGCAGTCATTTTTGCATACCTAACTAAAAAAAAGCTCTCTTTGGATTATGACGGTCCTCTAGCAAACGAGCGACACATATAAAATCTACCTCGGAACTTTATTTTCTGCTACGATTATTTACGTCTTTTTTGGGCTTACCTCATTTCTAGCCCTGACGCTGCCATCTGTCCATGCTTTTATCTCGACAGGGATGGGATTTGAGTTGTTCTTAGCCTTTTCGTAGACCAGAAGGTCTTAAGTCTGTACTAAATGTAATTTTTCATGCATGAGGCATATTTATTCCAAGAGGTAGTCGTTTACCCCATTTTTTACGTACCAATTTCTTTATAATAGATACATATTTTTTTGTCTGGGTTAATTAATATCTTATAATCCATTAATTGATTTATATTTTTAATTCAGTTTTTGCCAACCATAGGTCGAGTTATAATCAAAGAAGGTAAATTAGGAACGAAATAATGCCATGCCTGGGTGCATCCTGAATACCTAAATTTTAAATTCTTGAAAACTCTTCTAAATATTTGCCCATAAATTTGTTCAAAAAATTTCCCTCTATCATCTCGTTCGATGGATTGTGAGTCATAGACGAATAGAGTAGTATGTATACTCAAGTCAGTATATTTCATCTCACATATGGTCCCTTCAATTCTCACTCATGTTAACAAGCAATAATTGCGAAATTGAATTAGTCACATTTAAGATCGCGCAGATCAGCTGGTACTCAACGACAGCTGCGTAATGTAATTATGATTATTGGGCAAAGAATGAGCTTAGACAAATGTAATGAATCATTTAACCCCTTCGACTTCACAAGCCATTGATTAATACGTCGACGCCTTTTGCGGACAACTCAGCGTTCGCAATGCCCACTTAAGATGGGCAGTAAAAAAAAAATTGACTTTGTATTGTTAATTTAATGGAGGCAATTTGTGAGCAATTGGGGGAACTCAACGATGGAAGAGATTTGACGCTACAGAGAAAAACTGAGCGCAAATTTATTTTTTAGCAGATACACGCTCTTTACATTTAAGATTTATTTTGGAGTATCAACAGACCAACTAAATACTAATTATTCCGCTTTTTCGCTCTTCTTTTTCACAGCAAAGATCGGCATATTCTACACAGTCTTCTATGGCGTGTTGGCCGCACTAGTGGCCATTTGTATGTGGGTCTTTTTTCAAACGCTTGATCCGCGCATACCCAAATGGACCTTGGATAGTTCCATAATCGGCACAAATCCAGGTGAGATGAAATATTTCAAATAAACACTCTCAACTATGTTGCTAAGACCGCGCAATTCTTAATAGGTCTTGGATTCCGCCCTTTACCGCCAGCGGACAATGTGGAAAGTACACTGATTTGGTACAAAGGCACGCAGCACGAAAACTACAAGCACTGGACGGATTCGTTGGATGATTTCTTGGCAGGTGAGCCCACATCACATGCGCCTAATTTATTTTATATGACTTTCTCCTAAAACTTCGCCGCTTTCCTATTTGCAGTCTACAAAGTGCCTGGCTTAACACCTGGCCGCGGTCAGAACATCTACAACTGTGACTACAATCAACCGCCACCAAAGGGACAAGTTTGCGATGTGGACATTAAAACGTGGGAGCCTTGCACTAAGGAGAATAACTACAGTTATCACAAGAGTTCACCATGTGTATTCTTGAAGTTGAATAAAATTTATGGCTGGATACCTGAATTCTATAATGATTCAAAGGATTTGCCGGTTAATATGCCAACGAGCTTGAAAACTTACATCGCTGAAATTGAAACATCGCAAAGTCACAAGGTTACTGTTGCATAACTAGTGTTACTTTTCTTTTTACCTATTAAGTATATATAATCACTAAAAGATATTTTTTTTTTACAGTTGAACACCATTTGGGTCTCATGCCAGGGCGAGAACCCCGCAGATGAAGAGAATATTGGTCCAGTCAACTACTTGCCAATTCGTGGCTTCCCCGGATATTTTTATCCCTATCAGAACTCAGAGGGTTACCTCAGTCCGCTCGTGGCTGTGCACTTCGAGCGACCGAAGCGTAGGTTTATTTAAGTAGTTATTGAAAAACTTAGAGTCCGATAATTGTGTGTAGAGCATTTGGCTTTACTGATGAAAGCATAAAGTTGCCATAGTGTTCCTGCGCTTCGATCATCAGTTATTTCAACAATTATTTAAAAAAAAAACTTTGATAAGATATCTATTAGATATAAAACTCAGGCACTGAACAGGCTTCTAAAATAGATACGAGTACTTCAAACTGCTGGAGCCAAAAAACGTAGGTTAGGTTAGGTTAGGTTTTGGTGGCAGAGCCACGAAGGGGGCTCACTTAAACATCTAATAGTCCATTGTGATGCCACATTACACAAATTTTTAGAGCGGTAACTGTGTTAAAAACTAAGAGAAGCGCTGAATGCTCACAACAAAGTTCCGCAGACAGCTGATGTCCACTCCGGAGAGCCCCTCGGGAGTGTTGAAGAAATGCGCACCGAACTGCATAAACCTTAATCTAGCGAAAGTCGGGCAGTTGAGGAGGAAGTGCTGAGATGATTCCACCTCGTCTTCGAGACAGCTGCGGCAGTAGGGATCTGTGGCGATCTTGAGTCGCACCCGGTGGGTTCCTATAGGACAATGTCCGGTCGGTACACCTGTAAGAATCGAGAGCTGGCGCTTAGCCAGCTGCAGTAGCTCCCTTGACCGCCAGCGGACCCCAACCGGCCAGAAGGACCTTGCAGCTTTGCAAGTCGGAGTTTTTGCCCAGCACTCGCTGAGCCGACTGTAAGTCCATCTGCTCAGGAGCAGACCGCAGGTTGCCAAAGGAGCTCCTATTCCCTCCCTATCCGAGGTGATGGCCACACGGGTGCCCTGCTTAGCCAGTTGATCAGACCCGCAATGTCCAGTGATATCTCTGTGACCTGCGAACCAGATCAGCTTGATCTGGAAGTATTCCGAGGTAGTTGAGAGAGAGGCCAGACATTCCCCGACCAGTTTTGAGCATACCATTAGCGATCCCAGCACCCTGATTGCCGCCTGGCTATCAGTGTAGATATTTACCATCCTCCAAAAACGTAACCGAAAAGAGTTTCGAACACGAATATGTTTCCATTGGCCTTAAAGCGGCAATGGGTACTGCCTTGCCTGCGAGCAAAGCTCTTTTAAGCTTTCTATATATTTTGTGTAGGCGCAATCGGAGTAAACAGGGTTGCTTAAGTAGCTTAAAGGAAATTTTACCCGACTGGAGCGTTCTTTCGCCGCTCGTTTACAAAAATACAAAGCTATGCATATTTGCATGCTCGTTAATCCCAAGAAAAGCAGAAGCAAACTGTTACTGGACCGTTAAATGCTGACCGTTAAATACGCCACTGAATAATAAGAAAGTTTCATCAAAATTAAATTTTTTTTCAGAATTTTTAGTAAAATTTTAAGTTTGGATTTTAATAGCCCACGGTTCTGGGGATTTTCTTCCACATGCATAGCTAAAGTATTAAAAATCAATGTGAATTCTTAGACACTTGGAACTTGCATTTGTTTACACTAAAATTTAATTTTTTGAAGAAAATTTCCTTAGAAATTTAAACTTTTACTTTATGAATTCTTTGTCGTTTTTGGGTCACCCTATAATTTCTTTGAAGGAACAGGAAAATCGATTTTCTTCAAAATTGTTGGTTTCTCTGTTGTTTTTGTTGGCTTTATCTATTAATAATTTCTTTTTGTTTTAACTGTAACTCTCCTAGCAAATGATCCAAGGCATTTTCATGTACAATCAATCCTTTCTTTCCCATACTATGTGCTCACAAAGTTCATTAAAAAAAAAATTCAAATAGTTAGCTAGGGAAGGCAATTTATTTCCTAATTTACTCGGACTCTTCTGTTTTTTTCCCCCTTTTTCTTTTTTTGTCCAAATCACTAATAAACTGATCTCGCTTTACAGGCGGCATCATCATCAATGTCGAATGCAAGGCATGGGCACGCAACATCATCCACGATCGCAAGGAGAAACTAGGTTCCGTACATTTTGAGTTGCTGATCGATTAACAGAGTGTGGGCAAGATTTTTAATATTTACAACGTTTAAAAACCACCAACGCGTTCGCGAACGATGGTCACATATTGCGAAGGCGCACATAAATACACACCACACAAAGCGCAAGTGCGAGTAGCATAGATTTTCAGCATTATTGTAAAACATAAAAATTTATACATAAACACATACATAAGTATAACTATTAAAAATTAAGGAGCTATGCAGTCGAACGATTACTCTCTATTATATACATATAAAAAAATATGAAAAAAAAAACATAAAACACACACATGCATACCGAAATTTGTAAGATAATTAATGGGTTCTATGTATATTTATGAAAATTGCTGCTGTATATTTTTTTAATTTAATTTATCAACTTTATTGCTGTTAGTTTATGTGTTTTCTGTTTGTTTATCTTTTAAGTTGATTATGTCATTACATATGTGTAAGAAAAAGAAAAAAAAAGAGGAAAACAAATTATAGTACATAACCAATGCGTTATACCAAATGATTGCATGTAAATTTTTAGTCTACTTTGAACAACTTTGTCCCTATATCCAGTACATACACTATATGCCACATATGGGAGAAGTATGTACATACATACATACATGAAATAATTTACAATCTTTCGACAATCCTAACTTCTTCTAGACAAATCGTGAAACTTTAAATGAAGTACATACATATAGTTACATAATTATAAGTAAAATCACAATCTTGGTTGTATAAACATAGCGGGCATTTTAAATATACATGCGTACATATATAAACGGACACTAAATAGTATGTGTAGTCTCCTCTAAAAATCTAAAGTATGTAGCTCCATCCTCGGTAACACAACCAAAGTAGATATAAATAAATAAATGTATGTAAAACATGGTTACATACATATAATAGACAAATACACAAGCATATATTTATTATTGTATTTTAAGTTAACTGCCATTACTTTTTCGAACATTTGCAGTAATGATCCGCTTAGAATTAGCTGCACAGTTTTTAGGTTTCCAAGCGAAAAAATTAGCTATCTCATGTACCAGGACTTTCAAATGGGTCCCAGATGATAAAAAATGTTGTTAAAAAAAATTTGGAATTTGAAATTCGGGATTTGGTGTCCAAGTATCTACATTTTACATTCTGCAATCGAAGTTCAAGAAAAAAGCTGCACAATACCTGTGAAATTATTTGTTAAGAAAGTGGTTTCTTGTTGGCTAAAAGTTCCAGTAAAATTATTTTAAAACGAATGCAAACACCAGTGCCAGTACAGATTTATTACAATAAAAAATTAGTAAAAATAAATAAAAAATAAATTAAAAAAATAAAAATTAATTAAAATTAATTTTTGTCTTCTGGATTAAATTTCGTATAGGCATATTCAGTGAAGTTTATTTCTCAAATACCCCTGTGAATATCCCAGAAATTTAACATTTTTTATCTACAGTGGCAATACTTAATATTCGAGATTGCTAGGCATTTTGTTTAAAATTTTAAAGAAAAAAAACTTCTTCAGCGATGCATATTTGTGGAAATTTTTTAGTATGCAAAATATCGGGATGGATAAATCGGGATTTTTTACCAGATCAACAGACAATTGAATGGAAAAGGTGGCTTTACAACAATTTGTTAAAGTATTTAAGACTTCAAAATCGCCAGTTTATATAACGAAAATGCTTATAGATTTTTATTTGCTGAGCACAAATAATAAATAAATAATAATTTGCGGTACTTTAACTAGATTCTCTGCACTCTTGTAAAAATTTCAACCCCTGGAGTTTCGGTACTGCAAATCGTGGCTTTAGGTTTTTAGTATGTATTTGGACGGAAAATTTGTTCAAACAATTCTGCTGAGGTGCATTTTTTTTAACTTTAATTTTAAATTTTGAATTCAGTCGCGGACAAAAAATTTTCTATTCGTCGGATATTCGGAGAATTTAGAAATTTTGTAGACTCAAATTTTAAGAAATTGTTGAGGTATTTTCTTCTTTAGGCACCAATTAAAATAGTTTGAAATTTGTTTATAGACATACACAAGTATATATGTATGTATGTATGTTCATTAAGAGGTTCTTTAAAATATCAACGTCTAAGTTTTGTATAAGGTTTGCGTACAAAATAATGACATTCACGTAAATTTCAAAATTTTAAACAAATTTTAAGGGGCCGCTATCAGGATTTGAAAAAAAAAATGAATTTTTTTAAATCGTAACATTCGAAAAAAATTGGATCTTTAAATTTTAAATATTATTGAAGCTTATGCACATAAATTCATAAACTCGCTGAATTATAGCTGGTCAAAGTCAAAATTTTTTCAAACCCTGACCCTAAATTTTGTTATTATATTTTGAAAATTTCGTGTATGTTTTTATTTTTTACGTAAACCAAATATTTTTAATGACCAGCCTAATGTGCATACATACCTAAATATGTATATCATATGTGAAAAATTGCATATTTTCGATTCGTACGAATAAAAGAATATGTCCCATACTTTGAAACTTAATAAAATTTACAAATTTGCTTCTTATAAACTTACGAAACAAATTATGCGTTCGAAAAATCAAAAAACTAAAATAAAATTTAAACCTAGAATTTTTAAGTTCAGGATTTATCGCATACCTTGTATATTTGTAACTCTAAAAAGACATGTCCAGCAGGAGCAGAGCCTACAAAGAAACAAAAAAAGAATAATGCATATAAGGGAATCACTTTATGTTATTACACTTTTTGTTTTTGTAAATTAATAATTATTTAATTTGCTTAGTCTTAAAATTAAGAAGAAAAAAATTCCTACATACATATATAATTACATACGTCTGCATAAAGAAAAGTTTTGTCGTTTTCGATTCTACCAAAAAAATGTTGCCCCTTCTTGGCCCTCTTTGAATAAACGCTAAGGAGAGATGCTAAACTGAGATGTGAAAATTTTTTGGTAGAAAAGAAAACATCATTAGTGTTGTGAATGGTCATGCCGCCAACAACGTCGCACTATGGGTTCCTGTGTGGAAAAAATTCAAAAAGATGAAAACTTAAAAACTTTTTTTTTCATATTTTGTATATTTAGCATTGCATGGGGGCTTCGAAAAGCTGAATCTAATTTCTTTGTATGCTATAAACTCTTCAAGGACTTCATATGTCCTTATTCTTTCAAAAGCTTCATGCAATCTAGATTAAAGAAATTCAAGATGGTGAATACAAAATGGTGAATAAAAAAGTATATAGTCCTTTTTGGAAACTTTTTGCAGCCATTTTTATTTTTCTAAATTCGTATCACATGGTCCGTGAAGTTTCATTATACCAATTTTCAGCTTCATAGGCTAAATGTTTGTGAGATATTGAATTTTTTCCGCTTTTCGTTGATATGGAACCACTGTGCGCCGTTTATAAAACCAACACTTTCATACAAACCCACACACACAAAAACTGGCAAACTACATACTACTTAGCGGTTAAAAAAAAAAAAAATCAAACACCTAGTAATGTACAAGTAGAATGAATCCAAATGATGGTCCCAACTATTTGATAAACAAATTATTGTAAGTTAAATAAATAAACACGTTATACGTTAGAAGTATAAAGTTAACTGAAGGTCAATAAAACTATTAAAAAAAAAACTAACAACAATAAGAAAGTCTTCTTCAACATTATAAACGCTAAGGGCATGAGTTCACCGACACAAGAACATACATATATACATATGCATGAATTTACATTAGACCGCACCACAAAAAAACATCGCTTTTAATTTAAAATATTTTTGCAAGGCAATTTCGAACGAAAACTCTTTTCTGAGTTCTTACCACACTGATATAAGTTAATTAAAGCTCGCCAAAAATAATTAAACTTTTGCTAAGGAAGTAAGTATTTCGTTTATTCCAGCAAGAAAAGGTGATCCCTAGGAACGTAAAAAATTATGTTTCAAAAATGCTTCGGAAAATACTTTACACTAAGAGGTGTACGACGAATTTGTTTGCCTCTAAGGTGTTGCGGTCTAATGTACATATAAGTAGTATATACATACATATTTAGTCTAATCAATACAATCCGAAGTGCGTTAAAAAAGTATCAGCAAAATTATGCGCATACAAAGACAATTCATTTACTTCGTATTTGTTTTAATAAGTTTTTCTTTTTAACTTAATTTCGTAACTCGCACAACAAGCCATACTGATAAGATAAACTCAAATCGAAAATTAAATCGGTATAACCGCCAACCGGCAACGAGATAAATATCTCCAAAGACGTAAGCAGCTCATACTGGTTATGACAGCTAGCAACTTTTAGACACTTATCACTTTTAAGTAAAAAAAAAAAATTGCCTCACATGAAAAGGCAAAATACTTAAGTTGAGCTAATTTTAATCAACTGCAGGTACTCGATGTACGTAAATAAGTAAAAAAAAACACTTATTGCCTAACAATTAGCAGTGATTTTAAGGCCAGCGACAAGTAGTCGAAGAAACAAATATGATAAGCCTAAAGTAAACACTTTAAGGGCCGTCTCTTCAACTTTAAAGCTCACTTTATATTTAAAGATTGGATTAAAAACAAAGCTATGTCTCAAGTTAAGCATTTCTCTAATCGGTTTTCGACGTATGTATGTTTCTTGGTTGTAAACCAATTTAAACCCGATAATAAAATGCCTTACTTTAGAGACAATCATAAATTTGAATGCAACCTTTAAATATAAAGTGAGCTTTAAAGTTACAGGTTACTTGATAAAACTGCCGTAAAACTATTTATAGTCTTTTTCTTCTTCATGGCTGGCGCTGCAACCGCTTAAGCTATTTTCGCCGCTATTTTTCTATGCTAACAGAGGTCAATTAGAAATGCCAACAGATGCCAATTAGAAATGCCAAGTGAGGTTAAGTCCTTATCCACCTGATCTCTCCAGGGCCAACAGGCTCGCAAACAATTTTAATTTTTTTCTTAATATGTATTTCATTTAAATTTTGGCAGCTGACTACAAATATACAACCTAACTGCTGATAGTTAAACTCGGTTTAACCCACCTAGATTGGGCGTTAAAACTTAGTTCAAACTACGTTTAAACTTGCCAGAAAAACTACACACTTTATATGGTACAAGAAAATTTGTATTATTTTGAGAGATATATCGTTACCTAAAGGTTAAAAGGTGCCAAGTCCATTTTTTTTTTAAGTTGTTTCGGAGAGACAAAAAATCTATGTAGTTTTGCATTACCTGTCATTCTGCATTAAAAAATTAATTTTGAAAAAAATGGCCTTGGCACCTTTTCTACTTTAGGTAGCGATATGTATTTAAAAGCCGAAGTTTTGGTATGCAAGCCATGAGCTGAGTGTTCCAATCAAATTCAATATCTACTCTTTTTTTTCTTGCTTCACAGCAGTTTGTCTATTTGTGCCGAATCTGAAAAACTTCGGCAATCGCTTCTGCCCTTTGCAATTTGCATTTATTCATACTTGCTCTAGATTTCTCTTCAAAGAGCGGCCTTCGCCACACTCTTGTCCGCAAAGTTTCGTCTCTCTAAGTCGTTTTTTAAACTTGAAAGCCTGTTCCGGACTGAAGGTTAGTTAGTCGATTTCTGTAAATCTCGTACATTTTAAAGCATCCCTAGCAACGCGATCGTTGTAAATAGGACGTCAACTTGCCACTTACCTGACCCACTAAATAAACGTAGCATTGGCCATTCATTGTAGTCCCTTTACGCAAGCACTCTATTAATAAAATTGCTTGGCTATACCACAAAATGGTAGCCATCATCTTCGATGCCGGCTATTCCACTTTGAATATCTTTGTTGGCCTTTCTCCGATTTTTATTCCCTGCCTAGACTCGTGCTTAAACTCCGGATTATACTAGCGCATCCAGGATTCACGATCGATTCCAACTCCAAAAAATCTTTACAACTATCCAATCGTGGGTACTTGAATAGTGATGTCAGCATTCGCAATACCCAAAGCGTGCAAATTCTTGATCACAGGCTTCTTCAACGTTTTTGCGCCCTTCGAGTGGTCGCACATGATAACATGATTTCTGTATGTCGATGAAGGGCTATATTATTATAACAGCACAAAAGTTGTCCAAACTATTTTAGGAATGTTGCTGAAGTGACAATCCTTGGCCAGATATACAAATGGGTCATTCCGGTTACGTATGTACCTATACCCAGCTGTAGTGAGAACGAGAGAGCTCTGCTTTTCAATTGTCAACCGAATCCAAAGTAGACCTCTTGATAAGAGAAACATGAATAATGCTTTGGAAGCTGTGTATTGCCATCAGAACTAGAGGTGGTTACCAAAAATCAGAACAATAAGTCAACAGGAAGAGTAGGAAATTCCAATTACTACTAGATTTGACCCAAAGAAGGCTCAAAACGACCCAAACGGGTGAGCAATAGTGGGTTAAAATGTTCTACAAATTTAAAAGCCATTAAATTTTACTATAGACCTTTAAAGAAAAGATTTTTGGTAAAGGTAGTTTTACGCGAGATATTTCAAATAATTTAGATCAACTTGAGATCGAGTTAGGAAAACTTCAATACACTGTAAAAAAAAAAAAATTGTGTCGTTTAGGGACAAAACGGCAAGTGGTACATTATTCTAGAGCTCTTTCTCTCTGATAATTACCATACCGCTTTGGTGTCTTTCTTTAATCGTTTCATTTTGTTGCACAGCGCAATATGAGATACAATTGGAAGACATGAAATTAAACGGAAATAATGTTTTATACGGTGTTTACATGAGCCGATTAGTTGAATCAAAAGTTGGCTGCCCCCAACTTCTTTGGAAGCGATTACTTAAAGGCCGTTCACACCGGGCGATTGTTGCTCTCAACTAAAAGTTGCCTGTAAAATCGCCTCAGGTAAACACCGTGTATGAGAATCAACTGTAATCAGTTCTTACAAATTGTATGATTCCCATTATGTACTCCGTGGAGCAATCCATTGGAGTAGTTTTGTGCTACTCTGATGTAATACACAGATGGAGTATATGGTCCAGCCCTAGGACATAGCAATGTTAATTGGACCACATTTTTTATATGCATTTCGGTTAATTTTGGAGTACTTCTTGGCCCTTAGGGAGTACTCTTTACATGCGTTCATGGTTAGCTATGAGCGCTACTGTCGCCACTTTGTATTCTCTGATCATGATATTAACAAAATAGGTTCTAGTTAATAAAAGATCACTAAGAAGAGAACCCCACTTGGATATTACGCTGACAAATAAACCTTTTTCGAGAAATAGCAATCTGCATATGTGTGCATATTTATTTATTTATTTACATATTTATAATATACTAGTATGTATTTATAATACCAATGCTTTGGATTTTAAAACACATGTCTACACATAACTAACATAACACATCTCTAAACATAAGTACAGCCCTTTTTTGCTATGCTTTTTAAATAATAAAAAATATAATGCGTAAGCCACAAAATGCAAAAACCTGTCGAGCGGGTTTTCAAAATATTTTGTAAGAATTAAAATGCAATCAAATAAAATACAATTCGATGCAACAAATGTGGTATGAACCCTGCTGTCTATGGTATGAGAAATAACTCGAGGTTGTAGAGGTTAAAATAAATACAAAATCATATAAATATTGAACAAAAAAATCAATCTAATTTATATTTGCACTTTTTGAAAGAAAAAAAAAAACTAACACTAAACGTAAAAAAAAATTC